TTCATAATAACATGTGAATGCCCAGGTGACACTCCTGACCTATCGCCCCTATTTATCCTGGCTTCAGATGTCTGTTGTGTGCTGCCCCAGAGGCTTTTTTCTTCAACTGCAGCTCCTTGGTCTTTAACGGGTTACACTTAAGCAAATCTATGAATTTTTCCTTTTGCTGACCTGTGAATTCTTTGGAGCGTTATATAGCCATTGATTTATCAAGGGAGCTAATGCATGTGTAGGACTCTTAGCACCCAATGGTGAGTTGCATGTCCCTGCATCCCAGGAAATAGCAATTGTAGCTGTGCTGCTGCTTCTCACTGAGGTGAGAGCGCCACCTCCTTCTCACCTCACAGTACTGGGTGAAAGAAGGTTTCTTCCTGCTTTTTTCCAACATATGAAGTGTCATTAATTCATTAGGAATAAAATGTTTTTGTCTGTCTGACTCTGACTTTGTATCTTTGGTGTGGATTTAACTTTTAACAATGGAATTTTTGTTTAAAAAAGATTTCTCCTTATGTGCTTGTCTTGTTTGATGGAACTTGAATGTAAGACTATGAAGTGATGAATTTGCACTTTGTTTTTGCTTTTCTTTTTTCCTACTACAGTTCTGACCATTATATCAGGTTTACTTTCACTGTCCTTTATGCAGGAAAAATACGTCAATACGTAGTACTTCCTGTGATAAATTCTGCAGCCTGGACTGAGGATTGGTACTGTTAATTTGTAAACAATCATAGCAGTTCCTTCTGCTCCTGAAATCTCTAAACAGTTTCTAATGGAGCATTGCTTAAAAAGTCAATGCAAGTCTTCCTTTCTAAACTGGCTGCATAGTGTGGCTACTTAGAATCATCAGGTTCTGCCCCAGAGCCAGCTGCTTTGTTTAGCCCTTATCTTTGCTGTCTCTCAGCTCTGACAAACATCTTTTGGGGGAATCTTGCAGAGGCAGTTCAAGAGAATGTTTTGATCCTCAGCTGCCTGTGTTGCCCCTCAGCTGAAGGTCACCAAAGCTATGTATTTCAAGGGTTTAGTATGTCTGATATCATAAACCCCCAGTGAAAGTACGTCGGAACTGCTGAGACGTGGGTTGGTATTCCTTTCTGTGATTTCTGCTAGATAAATGTCTGAGTGGGTTCTCATTCTCTGGCTTTAATTAATAGCAACTTAAACCACCTGATCATAAGTCCGTAGCCCTATATATCAATTCAAGGCCCTATCTGGGAAAGAAACTGCTTTTATCCAGCCCATAGGCAACTCCTTAATATTAAATGTGTGCTTTTGCTGTGTTGTCTTGCAGCTTTGTCCTAGGTTAGAGTCTCAGTGAAATGCTGTGGTGTCCTTCAGGAAGAAAGTTGCTGTCAGGACATGACATAGATTATATACATATGTAATGTATACAGATAACCATTTAAATAATTATAATGTGACCTTTCATATCTCTTATAGATTTTGCTCTTTCCAACCTGCTTTGAAGTCGAAGGGGATAACAGAAGAGTCCCTGAATATAAGGTAAAACATAGGAAATATTGGATAACTGTAGATAACAAGTGCAATTGTGTGAATAAGTTGCACTTTAAAAAAAGCATCTAGAAATGTACCTATTTGTGCCCCCTGTTTTAAAGAATCAAAGGTGTCCCCAGAACTCCAAAAAGCATTCTAGTGTACAGCATCCACAGTATGAAGACATGAAGAACGTGTTGAGTAGCTGACTGTGCATAGTTAATTAATAATTATTACCTCCTTAATATGACTTTATTGGTAAACTCTACACAAATGGTTAGTGTGGGAAAGAGACAGTCAGTGAGGTGAGGTTAGAGCTAATCCATAATGCTTCTGCGTAATGGTCTCTTTATTGTGTGGTTAGGGCAGACAGTAATAGTTGTACACATTAATGTTTTGGCATGTTATAGTAACTGTGCAGTGGAGATTCCAACTTGTCCCTCAGATTTACCACTGCAGGAAAAAAAAGTTTTCTCCTAATGGGAGGTGATTGAGAGCATGTTTCATGCTGACCTTGAGCTACTTGCATACCTGTAACTCTTCTCAGTTTGGATATCTGAGGAACACAACCCTAAGTGCCTAATTGGTGTCCTCTGAAATAATAGCCTGGAGGCTGGAATACTGTTGAGACCTGAGGGCCAGATTGCCCCTGTGAGTTGTTGTGGCCTGTGTCAGCTGTACTCTTCTTTTTAATTTTCACCCTACCTGTTGTAGATCATTACCTATCTTGTAAGTGAACATTTGCAGCCTTGAGTACCAGCCATCAGCTTGCAAAAAGTATCAGTGCAGTATGCAACCAGGTCTGGCTAGAGCCTAACCTCTGCCAGAGGTACAACCAGATATCACCTCTGGCTAGAGCCTAACCTCTGCCAGAGGTGATGGTTGACTCTATGGAACATGATGTGTGTTCTGAGTGGAGCAACCAATAAATCACCCCAGGGTTTCCTTTGCCTGTGCTTGCTGGGTGCTCAACAGGTGAGAATGTCTTGAGATAAGATGCACTATGGCTGCAGGAACTTTGGGCTTTAGCTGGGCTTGTGATTGTTGTGAGAAACACTTGACTCATGTTTGGTCTCAGAGATTGAAGCAGGCTGTATGTCTAGGTCTAAAGTAGCCTGCCCTGAATCCCATAAGGCTCTGCCTTCAGTTTTACACCAATGGCTGAGAGAGGACCCTGTGCACCTTATTCACTCTGAGAATGTAAGGGGCCTTTGGCATAGCTTTAGCTGTGCCATGTTACAGCATGAGCTGAAATAAAATAAACATAAGGTAGTGCCACTGCCTAAGTAACGATCCCAGAAAAGTTGTGCTTAAGTGGAAAGTTAGAGAAAATGACCACAGTGGGCATGCTTCCCTTTACCAAGCTTCGGTCTGGGAACTAAAGGACTGAGTTTACTTTTCCCTCGTTTGAATTCTGGAGCTGCTTCTGAGTTAGAAGAATTAAAGAGCAGCACCAGGGGCTCCTTCCCCGTCTAGGGAGCAATGGCCATCTTCCACAGCATCCCAGCTTTTCCTGCCCTACCTGAGACAGGGAGGCAGGCCAGACTAAGCTCTTTGCCCAGACACGCTATTAATAACTGCACAGCTGAAGCATGGAAAGAAGAAATTACTAGTTTGATGTATCATATGACGTTGAGGTAGTAGCATTTCTGGGAAACCCCATATCAGTTTTTCCACCTAGTCCATGGGAATAATATACAAGAGTTCTGACTCCCAGGGTCTACTGTAGCCATTTAAAAAATGATAATGGGCTGTTACTGGACAACTGAGTACTTTGCCCGTGGCACTTTATTCTTCATTTAAATATACTTAAATGTTTGCTGTCACCATATGTTACTATGGCCACAGCCAGCACCTCTTCTCAGGTCATGCTTGACTGCTTTTATAATCTGCTCATTGCTTGTACCTGTATATTGCTGTTTGCAGGCTGTCAGCACTCTCTGCCCTAGGGATGTGATTTGAGCAAGTGAATGTGTGTGCTCAGGTGCACACGTGCATGCACACGTGTGAACAGAAAGCTAAAAGTACTGTGGGGACACCAGACCTGATTTCATCAATTCACCAGCTGACTCTTGGATCATAGAAGAGGATGACTCTTCTTCTCTTAGTCACTGCTTAAGTGATATGCCCAGGACCCTTAAAAAGAACAATCTTTTCCCTACCCCTTCTCCCTTCTGTATTTCCCTTGGAGGGAGACTCGGAGGCAGACAAAACACAATGACTATAGGTACTGATGCTGATTGTGTCGTGCAAGTTAGAGATCAGTGCACCCAGGTATATGTCGTGGTTTAACCTCAGTTGGCAACTGAGCACCACGCAGCCACTTGCTCACTCCCCCCTCCCCCGGTGGGATGGGGGAGAGAATTGGAAGAGCACAAGTGAGAAAAACTCGTGGGTTGAGATAAAAACAGTTTAATTATTGAAATAAAATAATAATAATAATGTAATAATAATAATAATACACAAAACAAGTGATGCACAATGCAATTGCTCACCCCCCGCCGACCGATGCCCAGCCAGTCCCCGAGCAGCGGCCCCCCCGGCCAGCTTTCCCCAGTTTATGTACTGAGCATGACGTCCCATGGTATGGAATGTCCCTTTGGCCAGTTTGGCTGTGCCCCCTCCCAGCTTCTTGTGCACCTCCAGCCTTCTCAGTCGGTAGAGCATGGGAAGCTGAAAAGTCCTTGGCTAGTGTAAGCACTGCTTAGCAACAACTAAAACATCAATGTGTTATCAACATTGTTCTCATCGTAAATCCAAAACACAGCACTGTACCAGCTACTAGGAAGAAAATTAATTCTATCCCTGCCGAAACCAGGACAGTATAGCACCCAAAATCCCAGTGAACTTGCTTATGCAGAGTCTGGCCCCTTGATGGCAAACAGGATCACCAGTTGTTGAGCTCTAAGCATTGTGTTTGCACTGCTCAGTTACTCCTGAGCATAACATTTGTATCTGCTGCCTCTGCTGAATTGGAACGGGCTCATGGTTCCAACACTGACAGTGCCTATCCGAGATTCTCTGAGGGGTTGGTGGCAGCCACCAGCAACAGAAGGTTCCCAGGTCTGTTCCTTTTCCTCCAAATGGTATTTACTGAGACTAGTTTAACTGTGTGTCACCCTGTGAAAATGAGCAGAACTAATGTTTGGGCTTAGCGGTGGGAGTGGAGTTACTAGAAAAACCTATCTTTTTGAAGATTCCTTCACTGGACACGTGCACACACAAAAGACAAAAAAAACCCCAAACAAACCCAGACATGGAGAACATGTTGTAGGAACAGGCCCAGATGGAAATAGTCCTTCCTTCCCAAATGCACCATTTCCCAAATATACATCTGTTTTAGTTGTTTTGGATTTCGTTTTAGAGACCACACAGATCTGCTGCTTCTAAAACTGAGTAGATCTTTAAAGGAAGAGAACTGCAGGAAAAGGGAGGAGGAAGGAGGTCAGCTTTTTATTAGCTTGGGCTGGACTTCATGGGACATGGTCTGTGGAGTGCCTTGGTATATTTCAGGGATGTTTGCCTCTTAATCTCCATTCTTCTTGATTATCCTTGGCAGAGGAATTGGGTGTAAGGAGTAAAGGGAAACTTGGCTTCTTTGAGGGGCTGGGTGTCACGTTCTTTAACTCGTTCAGCTTGTCCTTCTCATCCTGACACATCTTCAGGCAGGAACAGCACAGGTCTTTCTCTTGTACTAAGTAAAGTGTTTCTATGCGTTTGATGGAGTCAGAATGCTGCTCTTCCTTTGTTGAATCTGGGAAAGGGTTTCTTTTTGCATTCAGTTTCTTGAGCTTGGGGAGCTTTTTCACACTGTTTGGGATGGTGGTCAAGGCATTGTCAAAGAGACCTATCTCCTTAAGTTCCTTCAGGGCCCCAAGACTGGTGGGAATACTGTCAAGACAGTTCAAGCCAAGGTTGAGAATACGCAGGTTCTTGAGAAGGTTCAACTCTTCTGGCAGATTTCTGGTGGTCAGCTTGTTGTTGCATATATTCAGGTAGAAAAGGTTCTGAAGCGTACCTATTGCCTCAGGCAGCTCCTCGAGCTGATTACTATGCAGGTCCAGCCAACGCAGTTTCTGGAACTTCTGGATGCTGCTTGGAATCTTTTTTAACATGTTTCTGCTCAAATCAAGTTCATCCACATCAGCCAGTTTCAGAATGCACTTGGGGAAGGTGGTAATACCCATCTTGCTTAAGTCAAGACGGCGCCCTCCATCAAAAGATATCCGGATGGAATTTTTGGCAATTTTCAAGGTGATCTTCCTCCCTTTTTGACCTTTTGCTTTCCCCTTGGCCATCTCTCAACTGTGAGACAGGCAGACACACCAGACTCTGTGGATGAAGTGTGGGAACTCCAGTAAAGCCTTTGAAAGCAGTGGCTGTTATGCCCTAATTAAAAACAAAATAATCACATAGTTATAAATTAACATGTGACTGCTGGACTCTTCAGCAGTCTTTTTTTTAAGGTCAGGACTTTTCAACCCTGAAGCTCCAACTCTGAAAGTTCTTCCTGAAAGTATTCTGAGCAGGTGAAATTCTAATAATTTACAATATTATTTTATTGCATTGTAACACCTATATTGCATTACAGGGTGAAATTACAAGTGGGAGAAATTTTCTGTCTTTCATCCCTAGATACTGACTTGAGCTCAGCATGTAACGAAACTGAATGAAATGTGTTGTTATTCATCAGCCATTTGAGGACCAGAGCAAAATATATTGTGGGCCTCAATCCAGTCCTTAGGGACTGCACTAAAAGAAGCTATCCAAAATTGTACTTACTCTACCAGACCAACAGGTTGCCTTCTTTACAGGCCTGGCATCTGTTGACACGTTGGTTAAACATCCTGTTTAATGGACCTGAGATTTGGGCTCTGGACGCTATTGAAAGATTAAATATTTAAAGCAAATGATTAAAAACCTTGTTTTAACCGGGACCTCAGGAACATAGTGGGCTCCCAGATTTGCCAGAACTGCTTGCAGTTCACACATCACCTGCAGAGCAGACTGCAACAGGGGGGTCAGTGTCAGTGCTGCTTAATGACATGTTAAACCAGGCCTTGGTAAGTGTCTCCTGTGCTTTCAAGGACAGACTCTGGATACTCTAACCTTGTCTTCCCATCCATGCTGTGGGATAGATGAACTCCCACTGCAAAGGTGCCCTGCCCTCGACAAATGCGTGTAGGTGTTCTGGTCAGACTTTTGACTCATGCTGATGCTCAGCATGTGCTATGTGCTTTGTTGAATTGAGGCCTGTATGAGTAGTCGTCCACCGTAGTCTCAGGTTTTGTGAACTGTCTCTCTAATCAAAGGTCATCAAATACAGCTGCTAATTATGGCTAGTGACAAAGGAAATGAGCTGATTCCCTGGAAATGGATAATGTCCCTCTCAGCCAGAGTGCAGAGAGGAGCATGGGTTACAGCTGGCTAATCTCAGGATGGTCTGGGTGCTCTGGCATTTAATTGTGAAGAGTCAAATTGCAGGTTTGATGAATGATTGTTTGGGACAAAATATGAATTTGTCTACAATACATTTCCCTATTAGAAAGGCTTCATTACAAACCCTTCAGGCTTTTTGGCTACTCATTAATCATGTGCAAATACATGAAGGGGAAGCTCAGGCTACAACTAAGGCATTTCAGCTCCTTTTCAATTACATGCCATAGCCAAAAATAATGCAAAAGCAAGGGGGATCTCTGCCAGTTACCACCCACCCTCCTGGGAGCTCTGTAATGAGGCAGATGCATCAGTAATCCTGAAAGCAGCACAATGGGGTCAGTCTTGCCCTGAGGATATGTTCCAAAATTGAATCTTTGTTATTTTATATAAAAATACTTAAACACAGTTAAATCTTTCTGTGTTTGTCACTCCCACATTTCTGTCTCTCACCAGTGCTTACAAGGCCGTATTACCATTATATCTGAAGGCCTCTCAATCTTTCCTGTGTTTAACCTTACAGTGCCCCAGGGGCAGTATCAATGCTATTCTTTTCATAGTGTAGACTGGTAACTGAAGCAAAGTACTCTTACAGTGGAAAATTAAGCACTTTTTCCACCTTTGTTGATGTTAGCTTGAATAATTTGCCCAGGAGTGGGTAGGAAGTTCTGGAGATCACAACAATAGGGGGTTTTTTTAATCACAATTCACTCATTTTAAGGATTTGATGCAATATTCTTGTTGGCAATTCTGTGAAGATAAAGTTCAAGCTGCATGGGAAATGCCAGAGCCCTACTGCTGGTACAGGACACCGAGTCCCTCCCTGGTGCATAGAGGGTGACTACCATGCTTCAGAAAAAGATCTGCAGGGCAGCTTCCTTATACTTTGGCAGGATGGAAAGAAACTTTGTTTCCTGCACTTGATGTGAACCTGGTGACTTTTCGGTCCAACTTTCTTTTTGTTTGAATTTTGTGTTGGATGAGTTGACCAAAACGTTCAGTGCCTTTTGATCAGTGAAGTTTTTCAGCCAAGTATGCCTTTAAAAAAAATGAAAGGGACCCTCAAGGAAAAATACATATTTTTTCTAAATTCAAAATGATAATTTCTTTTAAAATGCTTTTTAAAACATATTTAAAACTCTCAGAAAGAAAACATTTTGTTCAGTTCCTAGTAATTTTTTTCTATTACTTTTAATTTAAAATCCAATGGGGAAACATTATTCCAAAACAGTTTCCTTTCTTAAAAATACCAGCTAGCCAAAAAATCAGCCTGTTCTGCAGCTGCCCGTTAATGCTGGTTCCCAGTGCTGGTGTCCCTCGGTGCTGTGAGTGCCTGGGAGCACTAGAGGGAGCCTGGTGTAGAAAGTTGAGTGCTGGAAGCTTGTCAGGAATAACAGTACAGATTAACCTTTTGGGTTTGGGTACTTCTCTGTCAATAACCCTTGCCAACTTGTTACAAAGTTTGAAGAGGGACATTTCAGATTTTTAAGAAGTCCAAACAAATAGATCAGTGTAATTTTCCTGAAGACAGATCTCTTTGTATGATGCACTGGATAACGCACAGACTTCAAAGAGATTTAACCACCTCCTTTAGTCAGATTTTTTAAAACCCTACTGTGGACCTCTAAGATGCACTGATCGGGAAAACATGAGTCCCTAGGGAGTGCTCACGCGTTCCAAGTGCTATTTCCTTTGGGTTAAAAGTGAGAGCCACCTTTCAAACTTACAAAAGGTGATTTGCAATCCCAAAGATAGGGATTAGCATTAGAGGTCTGCAGAAACACTGCAGTGCACCAGACAGCTTGAAGGGGATGAATAACTCTCTTGTCTCTGCATGCTTGTAAACTAATTATCAGTGTTTCACAGGGCTGTAGCTGGAGATAATGGAGCTTACTTAGCCACATCTCATTTTCTTTAGCTCCACATAAGAGGGCTCCAGTTCTGTAGCCACTGATATTAAAAATTCAGGAATCGCAGGAGCCCTCCTTGCTGTAAATGTTAATTATGCCTGTTCGATCTCATGCTCGCAGTGCATCTCCTGGGATAGCAGAGGGAGAGGTACATGTGTTGCCCTAGTACCTAAGAAATGATGATGACAAGAGGGAACTCTCTTTACTCATTTTCTCTAAACCCTCACCCCACTGCCAGGTTCACCCTCTGAGTTGCTGACAAGCCTTTGCCCAAGGGTGGCTGTGCTGCATTTCTATGTGATAAGGTCTTGCTAAACAGGACCTTGACTAGAAAACTCTTTCCCTTTTTATCCACACTTGGTAAAATCTTTGGTCTGGATTGGGTTTTTGAAAGCCCAGGGCTAACCCCAGAGCTTTAGGAAGGTTTCACAGGCCCAGAGCTTTGAGGCTGACCTGATACAGAAATGCACAGAAAATGTGTCAAGGGCATCATGCTGTCTGTGGTGCTCTGTGTTGCTGGGAGCTGCTGGGAGGGAACAGACCTTGAGCATCAGGACTAGGACTGTCAGTGTCTCTCTGAGGCAAGGAAGGATTGGAGATTACTCCTTTTCTGTGCTTAAGCACATGTACAGGGCCCAGTCATGACCCATTGTAGCTTAAGCCTGTCTGAAGAAGGAAATCCAATTCTAGAATAATGCAGATTTGGACTCTGATGATGCAGTCTCTTCTACCTGAACCTTTCTTCCTCCTTTCTCAGCATAGGGCTGGCAGGGGCAGAACAGGCCTTCTGCCTGTGACACTGTCTGGGTGTTTCAGGACCTCCTCCTCTGTGGTTCTGCTTGTTCTTTTCCTCGCATAGATTGCTGCTTCCTACTTCACTGCACCCAAAGCTGCACAGAACCATCTTGATCCCATCTTGAACTAGTCTGTGAGAAAAAGTTTCCTCTGTCTTTCCTCCTGGAAGTCTGCGTGTTGCAGAGCAGGCTTGCCAAGCCCAGCAGAGCCACACATGCCCTGCACCTCTCTGGGGGCAGGAAGGCAGTGAGATGACATGTTCTAATTCACCCATGGAATAGCTCTATGGAAATACTTTCATATAAAGCTTAAAACCAGCATTCGTACAGTGAATGATTTTGCATGAAGCCAAGTAGTTCCAGCTCGGGTAGGTTTTTATTTCCCTGCTTACAAGCCTGTTACCATTTCTTTGTTGTTGGATACGACCTGTTGTGGAAGAGAGAATAATTCACTGACTATCTTACATGCAGTCTCTTGCTAACAGCCAGGTTTAGACTAAATCCTGCCATGAGCAAACAGATAGAGAGAGGTTTCCTTCCTTAATTTTCTTACTTTTCTAGATCACTTCAGAGCCACTGTGCTATCACACAGTGCAAGGCCGCTTGTAAAACCAAGGTCCACCAGGAATAAACAAAAATATTGTTTCATCTTCACAATTCTGCCAGACTGCCCCCCTGCATAAGATCTTACCGGCTAGCAGCTAGGAAGACTTAGAAGGCGAGGTATAGATGTCACAAGCTGCTTGTTTTTTTCAGTAATGTGGGATGTGCCTTCATGGTCTGTTGCTGTGCAGTTGTCCTCCGTCTACTCTTCTCCGAGTAATGAATTGGTCTTTCAGTCTGTAAATATACCTGTGAGCAGGGAGCACAGGACAATTTCCTTTTCACAGTCCTGCAAATTCTGAATCGTACTTCCTTGATGGAAAATGGCAGCCCTTCAAGAAACTTGTGCATGTGAGTATGCAGGGGGGGAGGAGGAGTGGCATAAAGGACTTCCCCAGCTCCAGGGTCTCTCTATTCAATTCTCCTTCCACAGCCTGTGAAACTTTTGTTCCTAAGCAACAGCAATGCTAGGTCCTTGGAGATCATTAGCATAATGTTTGGTTCCAGCATGCAAGTTCAAGCTGGAGGGAAAAGAACTGAACGGCATGCAGTGCC